TCGTTCCCCGTCCGTTAAACCGTTAACCCGATACCAATAAGCCATTAAGCTTCGGTTTCGGTTTCGGTTCGATTTTGAACACCCCTATTCAGCATGTACAAATTAACTAGCTCATTGCTTAGGTATGAATCCCCATAGCATATGATTGGAGTAGAGTTTAAATTCTATGCACTAAGGGGTCATTTGGTTTGGTAGGGTGTATAAAAATAGTACGGAATAAGGTGTATTAGTAATGCATAGATTAATAATGTATGGGTTAGCAATGCAAGCATAAGCATTAGTTATGCAAATATTATTTCTTATCTACTGTTTGGTGTGGTATATTAAAATCATAATGCATTGCATAATTTTTAAGAAAAATAGTTGTTTACAAAAATGCACTCCATATTCTCAAGTTTTAAGGGACTTTAAGGATAATTTTGTCTTTAACCATACTAATGCATGCATTAATAGCCTTGGTATTACTAATGCCATGGTTTTCTATGCATTACTTATACATAGGATAATACCAAGTATGATGTCTAACTAATACAAGTATTAGTTATACACAAGGTTGAAAATATGTATCCAACAAGGTATTAGTAAGGACTATTATCTTCATTTGTATCATCTGAGTGATCTGACATGAAGCTAAAGATAAATGTAAGGACTACCAAGTTCAGGGCTCAAAAGTCATGTTTTCTGCTTCACGCCTAACAGATTCGAACAGCACCGAGGAGAGATAACGTTCCCCAAAGCTCGGGAAAATAACCTGCATATATAATGGCCGGCCGGTGTGATTAGCAGCCACACACTCCTTAACCAAAAAAGAAAATACTGTGGCTTAAGTTCTACTTTCGGGTTATGATCAGTGTAGAGAATTGTCAAGATTAGACGAAAAATGCATTGCATTAAGCAAATTGCTAGGTCAGAAAAACTTCTCGTGGAACAAATTGATGATAGGAGTAAAGCTTATTTAGGAGCAAGAATATAGTTTTAGTTTACGAGTAAACAGACAGTAAAAGTCTGTTTAGCTGTTTGCAGTAATTAAGCACAAAGATTTGGTGCATCATAAGATCAAAATAGGGGTTCTCGTAGTCCCAATCCCCATGTAGTATTGCATTTTCCTTGCATTTTCCAGGGCTGTTCCAGAGTTTAATGCCGCAAATTTTTCAATTGAAATCAGGGAAAAACAAATTTATAGTAAAGTTAAGGCGAATAAAGCCAAAACCAATTCATTTATTCCCAAACTGTTCGATCATAGAGACTAATATTGCTACATGTCGCAACAGATAACGTATCTGCTTGGACTGATCTATCGTTAGCTAGCAACTTGAGAAAAGGAAATTAATACTTACAACGATTAGTTTTCCAGCATTCTCTGGCCGCTTTGCAATTTTAATTGCTGCTGCTGCCGCAGCACCAGATGATATTCCTGCCTGCCATTCATAATTTCATGTTAAAATGATATTAGAAGCATCAATAGCTCGGGACTCGTTTCTCTTCGTCATTCTTTTTCCTTTTTTTCTTTTTGGGGCCTAGGAAGCAGGGGCGGATTGAAGATACCGAGTTAATTTGAACACAGTACTTTCAACGACGAGCATAAATTTATGTGTAAAAATTCACTATAATTGCAACAAATAGTAGATATGAATCCATAACTTTAAAAATATAATGAGTTCAATACTAAGAATCTTAAGGTTGAATTCATAGAGTTTAAATCTTGGATCCACCTCCGTCGGGAAGCATGGGGTTTATTTACCAAGTTATAAAGCAGAACTTACCAGCAATCTTTCTTTCAATGCAAGAAGTTTTGCAGTTTCTATGGCTTCATCACTTGAAACCTGGGTTTTTTAGAAGATCACGACAAATGTATTTTGATCAGAATTTAGTAACCAAAAACCAAATGATACTATTCTCACAAGCTCAAGATCATCATATGAGAGAACGAAAACTTTGGTCGAATTCCTTTAAATGCTTCTACAAATTTATGAAATGAACTCCGTAGGAAATTCATACTTGAATAACTTCGTCAATAAGATTAACTTCCAGCACGCCAGGAACGAAACCAGCACCAATTCCCTGTATCTTATGTGGACCTTAGGCATCACAAATAAGTCGAATGTCAAATCATAAGAGAAAAATTTAATACCGTGATAACTCTATAAATTGCATAGGAAACAGAAGCTTAACAAAGAAGCAAAGATCAATTAACCTTATGCATCTACATAAATGCCTACAACAAGAATCTAACACGACGCTTATGTTGTGAAATTGATGGAGCTCATTAATTTGATAACACTGCCCATTGATCTCACTATACTTATAATTAATCAGAATCGAGATGGGACAACATTTTATATGTAAAGTTCTTGCTCAAGATAACTCATATCATAAATCAGCATGAACAACGAAAAAAGGGGAAACATAAAACCATAACAATAGAGGGAAAATTACTCACCAGGTTTTCCTCCAGAAAGAACAGGACTTTCAACTGGTTCAATACCGTAAAGCTGTAGTACGATAGCAATTGCAGCATTAGCATATAAATATTGATTCCCAATTTAACTTTATAATTCAAAAGGGTTTCCCAATTTGAAAAGATTAATTCACCTTTATGTTAGGATTCTTCTCTCTTAGATATTTGCCTGCGCCTGTTATCGTGCCTCCAGTTCCAATTCCAGAGACAAAAGCATCAATATTCCCGTTCGAGCCTTTCCATATCTCAGGACCAGTGGTTTCATAGTGTATCTAGGATTATAGTAACATTTCAGCTAACCATATTCCCAGTGACGGAGCCAGGCATTTGAGCAAGGCGTTTCAAAACAATGTAAAAATGTCATACTTAATATATGAACCTATGTCTAGGGGATTCAAGAGTTCATTTATATATACAAAATGTTTGTTTTTACCCTATTTGTACAGTGTAATTTTCCAGCAAAGGAGATTCAATTGAACTAGGAGAAAGATAAACCTTTGGATTGGCAGGGTTTTCAAATTGCTGAAGAATATAGGAGTTAGGTGTCTTGGCCTTTATCTCTTCAGCCTTAGAAACAGCTCCTTTCATTCCCTTTGCAGGATCAGTGAGGACTAACTCAGCACCAAAAGCGCGAAGAATGATTCTTCTCTCGAGAGTCATAGAAGCAGGCATTGTAATGATCAGATTGTAGCCTTTAGCAGCAGCCATAAATGCCAGGCCGATACCAGTGTTTCCACTTGTCGGTTCTATTAGGACACTCTTCAGAAAGAAAGAAAGAAACACAAAGTCAGCTCCAATTGTTAAGCAATATGGAAAAGAGAGCCTAACAACTAACATATCCCTCATTGTCTATGTCGCTTGGATCCTTCAAAAATTCCGCTGCACCCGTGTTGGATCCTTGATAATCGGCTTAATGAATGCATATTTTGGTATATATCGCCTCACATTTTGTTCACATCTCGACGATTTGAGATGTTTAATATGATTGTTTGTGCTAAATTTTGGTATTTCTATGTGTAGGAATCATTCGGATGCAATTTGGGACGAAAGGGCGCGAATTGGAGCGAAATCGGAACAAAATTGCAGAAATGGAAGTTGAGCGCCACAGCCAGCGTGGGGCGCTCGCTGTGGCGCACTTTACAGAAGCAAAGAAGTTTGAGCGCAAGGTCCAGCGCCCCACGTTGGCCTGGACGCTCACAACGGGAATTCTCCTTTTTTGACTAGGACTCGGTTATTTCGACCCCTAGACGCCCCCAACTCATATAAAAGCCAACCTAAACCTATTTTTGAAGGGGGGACCGTGATTTAAAGAAGAAGAGAGGCACAAAGCACTGGAAAGCAAGGAATTGATCAATTCTTCCATCCCTTTCCTAGTATTCATTGAATTTATGTTTGAAAATATAATTTTTGATGATTGTATGAACATGAGTGGCTAAGAACCCTATTGT